ATATATTTCTACTCAATCCATGCAATCGATTTAAGGCATGCAAGCTCGAAAGAAAAGTCCTCAACAATCGCGATCACCTAACCGACTTATTGGGGCAGAATGGAACCCAACGACATGCCAATCAATCGAGGCCTCAAATTCTCCTCTTCACGCCCGTCTGGGCCTCTCTAGCCAGCCGGAGGTTGTCTCCAAGCCCTCCGTCCCTAAGAGACGAGAAGGTGAGGCAAAGGAGCAAGAGAAGCAGGAACAGGAGACGGAAAAGGAGAAGGTAAAGGAGGAGGAGGGGAGGAAAGGAGAGGAAGAGGAGGTGGAAACCGAGGCTGGTTACGAGAAGCAGTCGTCCGGTAGTGAAAAGGAGCCCGAGGGACCGGGTGACGCGGAAAACTGGAAAACGTTGGTTCCGACGACCGGACATCGAACGGATATTCCAGTCCCACCGATTGGGCACCTGCCGACCTACCGTCCCAGCCAGATCGGGTCACCCGGACATGCCGGCCTCGACATCAAAGCCACCTCCTCAAAAGGCAGCCGGTCTGCGAAGCTATCGGATGCCCGACTGCCCACTTCTGACTCCTCTCCCTTCCTTGCCACTCTGGGTTCCAGAAAACCCACCCGGTTGCCAGGTGAACCGATCGGACCGGTCGGCTATCTGGCAGAAACGTGCACGCAATCGCTCGTCTTTGAGGCGCCTCCAGGTCGAGTGATCGGCTCCGTGCGTCAAGAGTAAGTGTAAAACTCGATTCTGGCACCCTGTGTCGCTATGACAACGCTTTATTTGCACGTTTTCCTCAACTCTGCCCAAACAAGAGATGAAGACCCTTCACTAAACTCGCCAAAAATGACACACCCTTTGAAAAATGGAATATAAAAACAACCGTTTCGGCAGAAAGTTGGCCAAGTGATTGACTTGTGGTGTCTCTTTGGCGAGTTGTAGTTTGGTGCTGAGAATGGCAAAACTGGCTGACGATGTCGACGAAACATCTGAGAATGTACCAAGTCGACGGTCTGGCGTGGGAATGATGAAAACTACAATAGCAGAGGACTTCGGATAAGTTGCAAAAATGAGGTCAGACCTCTTCGGGCCAAACATGCCTGACAATGCAGGTTTGGATTAATCTCTTGGGCTATTGTTGTTATGGAGGCTTTAATCTCACGCGTAAGTGCACATAAATGCGCGAATTCTGTGCATCTGGCTCGCATCCTCTTCGTGTTCATCAGGCATTAATGGCTTTTTTTCGTATTTAAGCAGAGTTTCACGTTCGAGACTGCAGTCCACTCCAGCCGGGATGAGAACAACTTTAGGAAAAACAAGGTTACGTCATCTCTACGTATGTCATTTTGGGAAATTTCTATTACGAGTCTTTCATCTACTTAAACGAAATATGGTAAATACATGTTGAGGTGATTTAAAAAATGAGATTACAAGTCTTCTGACAACATCATGCCGTTGACTGAATAAATTTGCAGACATTTCGTCTCAGCCCCGACGCACTATAACTCGTCCAAATCCCAATGTTCTTCTCGCATTCTTCCTCGCCCCTGGTCCAGTTTATACTGTCCTAACTTCACCGCTCGATCCCGGTCAAATAGCCACTCGTCCTATCTACTCATCTCGTTGTGCTCATTCTTCTCCTTGTCTT